AAAAATCCTATCCACATTAGTAGTGGTACTGTACAAGGAATATTTTAGCTGTTTTTCGGTATGGTTTGACCAGAGTAACTGGAATTTGCCGTGTTTGTGTTGCCAGTTAAATTCAGAGAAGTGTTAGTGCAGAGACTGGGTGCTGTTGCTTCTGATGGACTCTTGTGTCCCTTGGAAAGTATACTCAGTCTTGAGTAAATTTTAAAGAGTGACAACTCTCAAGTTTTAGCTCATCTGTCTTCTGAATGCCTAAGATTCTGCAAGGAAACAGTATTTGTACTCGGATACTTCTCGTTTTTGAGGAGGCTGTTGTGGGTGAGGGAGCAGTAAAGGTCTACCTTGTTCTTGATTGAGTGACTTGCCTTCGTGAAGACGCGTGCTGTTTGAGTTCATAGCTGAAGGACAAATTTGTGAAACGTGACTCAAGACGAACACTTAATTGCGAAGTCCGGACTGAAGGCTATGCAGGTGTTAGTGGTTCGTAGCACAGAGTTGGTTGTTACCTCCTTTGGTGGTGCAGCCTGTGTCCAGCGCACGCTGCAGGGAGGTGGGTGAGCAGCAATGTGAACCCAGCCTATGGCATGTGATACTGGGCACAAAGTTCTTCCACCTTGGAGGGGCTTGACTTTTTAGGAGATGTGTTGTCTGGCACTCTTAAAACCAGATTTATTAAGACGTATCAACTTAAAATATGTTTTGGAAATTAAGGCCTTCAGCATCTGAGGTGCCATCAAATGTATTGCCTCCAGGCCATCTTTGATCAGGGTTTCACATGTCATAATGTTTACCAGCAGTCTGAATATGGCCAGGCCGAAATGCATCTCATGTGATGGTAATGAGAAGTGTTTAAGGACTGAATTTCAGCAACACGTACATTGATATGTGACCTCCTGAGAGCTGAATTTTAGTGAATTGTTTATAAAGAAATGAAAGTTATACAGTTTTAGTGATAAACTTGCATTATGTATCAAGTTGCTACAAGAACACTTGTTTTGGAAGTGTTTTAGAAACAAGCTGTTACTTCAGGAAGGATGTGAATTTACCAGTTGTTTGTAAACTCTGGTGTCTTAGATTTGTTTGCATTTTAAAATCATCCCATAGACTTTTTTCTTTTTTTTTTTTTTTTTCCAGTACCTCAGTTGATTTGATCCCTTCTTAAATTAGGTTTTCTAATAGTGAAATTATTGACAGAGGATATTTTTAAGGTATTTAGAGAACGTGGCTGAGATGTCCCAGTGTTGAATGCATCATCACATTAGTGTTCCCTTCTGGGACTTGTCTCTGATTTGTTACATAGTTTTGGGTGTGTTGTTTTCTTATTGGTAAGGTAGAAGATATACTTTCTATATGTTAAAGGTCAGATAAAGTTTCTAATGTTGCCAGTACTTTTTCTAAAAAGTGTTTATGTTATTTTAGTATTTTCTTTAATCTTTTACAACAAGTTTGTTTAAACTTAATTTAGTTCGGGGGAAAAAAAAATACCCATCAAACTACTGTAATAGGGTTTACTAGCTGCATTAATTCCCCCCTCCCCCCAGTTTGTTTGCAAACTAACAAAAATTTGCCCTTTTAGAGGAAGGAGGTTTTTTTAATAATAGCAAAAGAGAATTTTTTTTTCAAGAAGAATGCACCCCAGAGAGGTGCTTAGGAGATGGATCGTGTCTCAGGAGACAGAGGCTGTGTGTTGTCAATGCAAGCAGCACGCTGAGAAGCTCAAGCATGACTGTTGGCTTTCCTCATCCAAAGGACGTTCCTGAACGAATGATTTGCTTAAAAATGTAGGTACACTGTTTACATGCGGAGGAGTTGGG